GGGAGATTCTGAAGAGAAGTTGCAGAGATTGGTGGATGAATTTGGTAGGGTGTGCAAAAGAAGAAAATTAAAGGTGAATACAGGAAAGAGTAAGGTTATGAGGATAACAAAAAGATTAGGTGATGAAAGATTGAATATCAGATTGGAGGGAGAGAGTATGGAGGAGGTGAACGTATTCAGATATTTGGGAGTGGACGTGTCAGCGGATGGGTCTATGAAAGATGAGGTGAATCATAGAATTGATGAGGGAAAAAGAGTGAGTGGTGCACTTAGGAGTCTGTGGAGACAAAGAACTTTGTCCTTGGAGGCAAAGAGGGGAATGTATGAGAGTATAGTTTTACCAACGCTCTTATATGGGTGTGAAGCGTGGGTGATGAATGTTGCAGCGAGGAGAAGGCTGGAGGCAGTGGAGATGTCATGTCTGAGGGCAATGTGTGGTGTGAATATAATGCAGAGAATTCGTAGTTTGGAAGTTAGGAGGAGGTGCGGGATTACCAAAACTGTTGTCCAGAGGGCTGAGGAAGGGTTGTTGAGGTGGTTCGGACATGTAGAGAGAATGGAGCGAAACAGAATGACTTCAAGAGTGTATCAGTCTGTAGTGGAAGGAAGGCGGGGTAGGGGTCGGCCTAGGAAGGGTTGGAGGGAGGGGGTAAAGGAGGTTTTGTGTGCGAAGGGCTTGGACTTCCAGCAGGCATGCGTGAGCGTGTTTGATAGGAGTGAATGGAGACAAATGGTTTTTAATACTTGACGTGCTGTTGGAGTGTGAGCAAAGTAACATTTATGAAGGGATTCAGGGAAACCGGCAGGCCGGACTTGAGTCCTGGAGATGGGAAGTACAGTGCCTGCACTCTGAAGGAGGGGTGTTCATGTTGCAGTTTAAAAACTGTAGTGTAAAGCACCCTTCTGGCAAGACAGTGATGGAGTGAATGATGGTGAAAGTTTTTCTTTTTCGGGCCACCCTGCCTTGGTGGGAATCGGCCGGTGTGATAATAAAAAAAAAAACAAATAATTCCGAAACGGACGACTTTCAGGCCGGACAATTATTGAGGGACCACTGTACATAATTTACCTAGGTAGTAAGTTGCCAGACAGCATCCACCCAGGAAGAAACTACTGTCCTGCCAAGTAAGTGTAAAACAGAAGCCTGTAATTGTTTCACATGATAGTAGGATTGCTGGTGTCTTTTCTCTGTCTCATAAACATGCAAGATTTTGGGCAGTTCTTGCTACTTCTACTTACACTAAGGTCACACAATACATGCATGTACAAGCATATATATACAGACCCTTCTGGGTGTTCTTCTATTTTTCTTACTAGTCCGTGTTCTTGTTTATTTCCTCTTATCTCCATGGGGAAGTGGAACAGAATTCTTCCTCCATAAGCCATGCATGTTGTTAGAGGTGACTAAAATGCCAGGAACAAGGGGCTACTAACCCCCTTTTCCTGTATAAATTACTAAATTTAAAAAGAAAAAGAGATTTGATAATAAGTAATACTTATTTTATGAAAAAGAGGATAAATAAATATACAAGGTATGATGTAGCACGTAATGAAAGTAGTTTATTAGATTATGTATTGGTGGATAAAAGGTCGATGGGTAGGCTCCAAGATGTACATGTTTATAGAGGGGCAACTGATATATCAGATCATTATTTAGTTGTAGCTACAGTTAGAGTAAGAGGTAGATGGGAAAAGAGGAAGGTGGCAACAACAAGTAAGAGGGAGGCGAAAGTGTATAATCTAAGGAAGGAGAAAGTTCGGGTGAGATATAAGCAACTATTGGCAGAAAGGTGGGCTAGTGCAAAGATGAGTAGTGGGGGGGGGGGGGTTGAAGAGGGTTGGAGTAGTTTTAAAAATGCAGTATTAGAATGTGGGGCAGAAGTTTGTGGTTATAGGAGGGTGGGGGCAGGAGGAAAGAGGAGTGATTGGTGGAATGATGAAGTAAAGGTGTGATAAAAGAGAAAAAGGTAGCTTATGAGAGGTTTTTACAAAGCAGAAGTGTTATAAGAAGAGCAGAGTATATGGAGAGTAAAAGAAAGGTAAAGAGAGTGGTGAGAGAGTGCAAAAAGAGAGCAGATGATAGAGTGGGAGAGGCACTATCAAGAAATTTTAATGAAAATAAGAAAAAATTTTGGAGTGAGTTAAACAAGTTAAGAAAGCCTAGGGAAAGTATGGATTTGTCAGTTAAAAACAGAGTAGGGGGGTTAGTAGATGGGGAGAGGGAGGTATTAGGTAGATGGCGAGAATATTTTGAGGAACTTTTAAATGTTAAGGAAGAATGAGAGGCAATAATTTCATGCACTGGTCAGGGAGGTATACCATCTTTTAGGAGTGAAGAAGAGCAGAATGTAAGTGTGGGGGAGGTACGTGAGGCATTACGTAGAATGAAAGGGGGTAAAGCAGCTGGAACTGATGGGATCATGACAGAAATGTTAAAAGCAGGGGGGGGGGGATATAGTGTTGGAGTGGTTGGTACTTTTGTTTAATAAATGTATGAAAGAGGGGAAGGTACCTAGGGATTGGCGGAGAGCATGTATAGTCTCAAGAAATCGTAATGACACGATTGCAAACAAACCATACCCCCGGCCGGGATTGAACCCGCGGTCATAGAGTCTCAAAACTCCAGCCCGTCGCGTTAGCCACTAGACCAGCTAGCCACAATAAGATTCATCCAACTAGGTATATTTCTACACCATAGGAAGGTTAGCACAGGCACCTCTGTGACCACAAATGAAAGTTTTTACAGACGAATCTCCAGCTAGCGTGGCCGTGATGAACTCTAGCTCAAGTCTCTTCACTGCCGTCAACATGACTCAAGAAATCGTAATGACGGGCTGGAGTTTTGAGACTCCATGACTGCGGGTTCAATCCCGGCCGGGGGTATGGTTTGTTTGCAATCGTGTCATTACGATTTCTTGAGTCATGTTGACGGCAGTGAAGGGACTTGAGCTAGAGTTCGTCACGGCCACGCTAGCTGGAGATTCGTCTGTAAAAACTTGCATTTGTGGTCACAGAGGTGCCTGTGCTAACCTTCCTATGGTGTAGAAATATCCCTAGTTGGATGAATCTTATTGTGGCTAGCTGGTCTAGTGGCTAACGCGACGGGCTGGAGTTTTGAGACTCTATGACCGCGGGTTCAATCCCGGCCGGGGGTATGGTTTGGTTAGCATGTATAGTCCCTTTATATAAAGGGAAAGGGGACAAAAGAGACTGTAAAAATTATAGAGGAATAAGTTTACTGAGTATACCAGGAAAAGTGTATGGTAGGGTTATAATTGAAAGAATTAGAGGTAAGACAGAATGTAGGATTGCGGATGAGCAAGGAGGTTTCAGAGTGGATAGGGGATGTGTAGATCAAGTGTTTACATTGAAGCATATATGTGAACAGTATTTAGATAAAGGTAGGGAAGTTTTTATTGCATTTATGGATTTAGAAAAGGCATATGATAATGTGGATAGGGGAGCAATGTGGCAGATGTTGCAAGTATATGGAATAGGTGGTAAGTCATTAAATGCTGTAAAGAGTTTTTATGAGGATATTGAGGCTCAGGTTAGGGTGTGTAGAAAAGAGGGAGACTACTTCCCGGTAAAAGTAGGTCTTAGACAGGGATGTGTAATGTCACCATGGTTGTTTAATATATTTATAGATGGGGTTGTAAAGGAAGTAAATGCTAGGGTGTTCGGGAGAGGGGTGGGATTAAATTTTGGGGAATCAAATTCAAAATGGGAATTGACACAGTTTACTTTTGCTGATGATACTGTGCTTATGGGAGATTCTAAAGAAAAATTGCAAAGGTTAGTGGATGAGTTTGGGAATGTGTGTAAAGGTAGAAAGTTGAAAGTGAACATAGAAAAGAGTAAGGTGATGAGGGTATCAAATGATTTAGATAAAGAAAAATTGGATATCAAATTGGGGAGGAGGAGTATGGAAGAAGTGAATGTTTTCAGATACTTGGGAGTTGACGTGTCGGCGGATGGATTTATGAAGGATGAGGTTAATCATAGAATTAATGAGGGAAAAAGGTGAGTGATGCGTTGAGGTATATGTGGAGTCAAAAAACGTTATCTATGGAGGCAAAGAAGAGAATGTATGAAAGTATAGTAGTACCAACACTCTTATATGGGTGTGAAGCTTGGGTGGTAAATGCAGCAGCGAGGAGACAGTTGGAGGCAGTGGAGATGTCCTGTTTAAGGCCAATGTGTGGTGTAAATATGCAGAAAATTCGGAGTGTGGAAATTAGGAAAAGGTGTGGAGTTAATAAAAGCATTAGTCAGAGGGCTGAAGAGGGGTTGTTGAGGTGGTTTGGTCATTTAGAGAGAATGGATCAAAGTAGAATGACATGAAAAGCATATAAATCTATAGGGGAAGGAAGGCGAGGTAGGGGTCGTCCTCGAAAGGGTTGGAGAGAGGGGTAAAGGAGGTTTTGTGGGCGAGGGGCTTGGACTTCCAGCAAGCATGCGTGAGCGTGTTAGATAGGAGTGAATGGAGACGAATGGTACTTGGGACCTGACAATCTGTTGGAGTGTGAGCAGGGTAATATTTAGTGAAGGGATTCAGGGAAACCGGTTATTTTCATATAGTCGGACTTGAGTCCTGGAAATGGGAAGTACAATGCCTGCACTTTAAAGGAGGGGTTTGGGATATTGGCAGTTTGGAGGGATATGTTGTGTATCTTTATATGTGTATGCTTCTAAGCTGTTGTATTCTGAGCACCTCTGCAAAAACAGTGATAATGTGTGAGTGTGGTGAAAGTGTTGAATGATGATGGAAGTATTTTCTTTTTGGTGATTTTCTTTCTTTTTTGGGTCACCCTGCCTCGGTGGGAGATGGCAGACTTGTTAAAAAAAAAAAAAAAAAAAAAAAAAAAAAGCGAAACTTTCATTTTTCATTTTGGGCCACCCTGCCTCGGTGGAATACAGCCAGTTTGTTGAAAGAAAGAAGATAAGTAATTTACAGTAAGTGCAGCAGAATTACCCTTTTTCTGGATTGACAAACTTACATGATCACAGTATTTATCTGCCAGCCAGAGATCAGAGCATGACGGTGCACAAAACTCAACCGTCATGTCAGCTCCAAAATCATCTTCCATGGACAAGAGTTCCCCTTCTCCTTTCTCTCCCATGCAGTCACCACCATCCCATTCACAAGCAGTTGTGTTGCATGATGAATCACAGTAACCATCACCAAGCCATGAGCCTGGGCATCCTGATGAACATTCTGGTAGTGACCACGATAGATACACCTACAAGAAAAATATTAATGATACAAGTGGACGGAATTAGACAATAAAATGACAAAGAAAGTACTCATTTACATTCCATGTGGGTTTGTCACTGACGAAAATTTATTACACTTTTGTTTGGGTACTGATATCTAGCACTTTGCAGCAATCACAGTATAATTACTTTGTCTTGAACAGTATTTAGTCCATGCTTGGCTTTTAAATGTAAGTGCAAGCTATCCAAAAAATAATATTAAAAGATGATTAAAATCACAAAAAAAAACATTTCCAGAGTATCCCTATGCTCTGTTGTTATTGTTGGATTAAATGGCTGTGATGATCCAAGAGTCTGTGCTCATTTCTTTGCTTTGAGATTGACTACCAGGATGTTTTTGGAAATGTAAAATATTTAATTCACTTTCATTATGTTATGTTAAAAATTAAAATAAAGTATCATTTCCCTTGCTTTTTCAATAATAAAAATAATAGTATTAAAGTGAAGAGGGTGGTGGGAGGGAGTGACAAGCAAATGTAAACATTGCTGACACCTTCATACATCATCTTGTTTATTTATCACAAAATATGAGTTTATCAGTGATGTACAATGTATATGAAATAGGCACTGCTTACACATTACCTCCAGGTTCCTTCCATTTTCTAACTCTGATTATGCAGAGGAGGAAGAGCAGAAGATATATAAACACTGATGGGAGTCACTCATGGAAAGGTACAGTTCCTGTTAACCCTGAATATGGAAATCATTTATTTTCACAAACTAAAAGTTTCTTAACTAAACTGATGCATAACATATATACATAAGGTACTGTATTCACGTTATATTAAGCGTCCTCTCATTATAACCCTGACTATGCAAATGGAAGGAAGCAAAAGATACAGTATATACTGTAAATCTTGTAGGAGGGGGTAAAGGAGGTTTTGTGGGCAAGGGGCTTGAACTTCCAGCAAGCGTGCATGAGCGTGTTAGATAGGAGTGAATGGAGACAAATGGTTTTTGGGATCTGACGAGCTGTTGGAGTATGAGAAGGGTGATATTTAGTGAAGGGATTCAGGGAAATCAGTTATTTTTATATAGCCGGACTTGAGTACTGGAAATAGGAAGTACAATGCCTGCACTTTAAAGGAGGGGTTTGGGATATTGCAGTTTGGAGGGATATGTTTTAGTATATCTCTATATATGCTTCTAAACTGTTGTATCTGGGTGCCTCTGCAAAAACAGTGATTATGTATGAGGTGAAAATGTTGAATGATGATGAAGGTATTTTCTTTTTGGGGATTTTCTTTCTTTTTGGGTCACCCTGCCTCAGTGAGAGACGGCTGACTTGTTAAAAAAAAAAAAATTATTTCCAGTATTCTCACATTTTAGCCTAGATGATGCAAGACTATCAAGACACTGCATTTATTGACTGGTATATAGGAAACAGCTGAATTTAGTGACATTTGTTAGCCAGACCTGTGATTCCCATGGTGGTAAACAATTTATATATAAATGGTGTATACTGTGATGGCTCTATGAACCTCAAATACAAACATTCATCATGGTGGTGCCACAAGATTATCCCTTCACTTTCTTGTTTAATTACTGTACTTTTCACACTTTGTTAGTAGTCACTAACATATTCAACATTTGTATAGATACACCTAGGGTGAGTGAATGATAGTTAAAGGCACAGCAATGTGTAGTTACAGTCAAATTATCAATTACTAGCCTTCCTATATGTACTAGCATTTAGCTAGTTTCCCTAAATTTACACAGTCATATATAAACATTACAGCATCGTGATAAAAAAATGATGCAATTTCTCAACCATCGGGTAGCAAAAAAGTACTAATAGATAGCATCTTTATTGATGGTCTACTGTATATTGTACAGCCTCTCCTCACTTAACGACACAGTTCTGTTTCTAAGATCACATCGGTAAACGAATTCGTCGTTAAGCAAAGAGCATACTATAATGGTACAGTATTAGGTTTGTGTCGACCATCTTTGATAATGTTGTAATGTCACCTTTGCACCATTTATAACATTTTTATTATATTGTTTATACAGTAGTGTACTTTATAGTGTAATAAACAGAATAGAGGAAATCAGCTCTAATACACATTATTTAGGTATGCATACTGGTCAGAGAGCCTGTCATAGGTCCAAATTGTCGATAAACGAGTACATCAATAAGCGAGGAGAGGCTGCATTTAAAAATTTAATTGTAATATCAATTAGTAATAAAAATAAAGACAAGTTTAAAGAATCTTTTAAACACCACCTTATACCCAGAGGTAGGGGAATAGAAGTCCTCTGGCCAAACTTCAGATCCAAGCATCACATCATCGTTCAGGTACAGGAAGTGTTCTGATAATCCTGGAATCCTGCAGAATACATTATACAGTACACTAAAAGCTGCTGTATTAAGTTCCTTTGCTCTAACTATAAACTTAGTGAGGATTACCATAGTACATATAGTAATTATATTTTCAACCTACTACATACCAGTAAATCACAATATCCCAGTTTCATTCAGACTTCTGGAGAACTACCTGTGAATGTGACTTTCAATTGCCGGGGAGGAAAATGATGGAAGATGGCTGACATTTGGGAATATTTCTTCATGAGTAATGATCATGAGTCGTGGATGATCCAAGTTCAGCCAATAGGGAATTTGTCCATTAGTCACCAAATAAATTCTTCTAACCCAAGGTGCATATTTTTCTAAAGACCGCAATGAATATCTCAGCTCCTGTAAATTGTAGCAGAGTTAATTAATCTTTTTATCGAAAATTCTAATACCATCTAGAAGACAAAAACACAATATTTTTAATTCTAGATTCTTACTTAAGCATTTAATTGACTACCAGTATTTAATACTTGATGCCACCTCATCAAGAATGTCACACCAACTACTCTGCAAGTCAGACTAAATGTTGATATGTCCATAAGGGTAAACCAACGAGTAATGCCCTTTTTTCTTTTAGAAGGATCACTGAATACTACAGTATACATTTTATATCCTGTGTATTTCAAGTGAAATCAATAACACTACATTATATTGTCTAAAATCTCATCACCTCTACTGCTCTATTGTCACCCAACATGTACTGTATATGGTGATAAACAGTATAAAATGCCAAAATGATGGAAAAGCAGATGCAAATGCAGTATAATGCGAACCATTATAGACAATGTTTCGCAGACACAGTGGCCTTTATCAAGTCACAAACAGAACTTTTCCATTGTACTGTATACAATTAGGATTCTCTATGTATTTTTTGTCAGGACAAAACTGCCAAGCATTAGCAATATGTTTTGACTTAACTGGTCCAGAGTGATAACCACTGAAAGTATTTCAATCTATTGTGATGGCCTCTCAGGAAACAGTTTAAAGCATACAAAAGAATGCATGTTGTATAAAATGTTGGTTGAAAATAAAACATTTACTACTATTACTTGAAAATTGGGAATCAAAACACTGCTCCAGAAAATAGGATAGTGGTTGGTACTCACTGCTTTATTATCTGGAGAAGTGTTTAGCTAAACTGTACATATTTACATAATATATGTATACATATGATGTACGGGTATCTTTATTGTAGACGTTTTGCCATCCAGTGGCTTTATCAATACAAATTCTAGGACATAACTTGAAGACAGTAGGACTATATACAGAAGATGAGGTAATCAGTCCCTCAACCTAGGAGTAGGAGCGAACAGCACCGTAGTCTTGGAGATTCTGAAGCAGAAGGAAGGAGCCTGGCGCTTATATAGAAACGTTAGGTGTAGCAGACGAGGGCATAGTCACTGGTAGGCGGGATTCCCCAGTGGAAGTAGGTCCTTCCCAAAGAGATGGGTTAGTTGTAGTAGTAGTTGTCGTAGCCGTGAAGGTTATGTACATGTCCTTAGAATCAAGATTCCACTGGGGAATCCCGCCTACCAGTGACTATGCCCTCGTCTGCTACACCTAACGTTTCTATATAAGCGCCAGGCTCCTTCCTTCTGCTTCAGAATCTCCAAGACTACGGTGCTGTTCGCTCCTACTCCTAGGTTGAGGGACTGATTACCTCATCTTCTGTATATAGTCCTACTGTCTTCAAGTTATGTCCTAGAATTTGTATTGATAAAGCCACTGGATGGCAAAACGTCTACAATAAAGATACCCAGATGTTGCACATGTGTCTTAATTTCATCTTGTCGGTATTATATACTATTCTTGCACAACATATGATGTACAACATATACAGTACATTAGTGTAAATGTGAAAATACTGTGTTTTATATATTTATGATCTAAAACATTTATCTGAATTAGGTTTTGTGGTCACTACTGCAAGAATATTTTTAACACCAAAATTAATATACCTGCAGTCTATTATGGTATAGTGGCTAGTGCTATGGTGGTTACATGGAATTTCTACAATGACAAGGGTGACAGGTAATGGCTTGCCATTTACTATACAGACATGGTGTAAATCAATGCCTCCCTGTATATGCAATAGAGGAATAACGAATACAGGTTTAATTATACTGGAGACTCACCTCATTATCCTCAAATCTATTAACATCAACTTCCTTCCCATGATCTTCATTGTCTGATTGCAGCATTAACATTGCCTGTCGAATTTTAATTACACTGTTGGGTGATGGTTCTATGTGAGTTTTGGACTGCAACAATGCAGTGATCAATCCTTCTTCTTTACACTCCACAAGCTGCACACTTGATGAACCCGAAACACTGCACTGTTGGAAATACAAGGCTGGGTACGTATTTCTTGAAAGCACAAAGATTCGGTGCAAGTCACAACTTTTTCATTTTTATAATAATGAAGCCAGCATGTAATTTTGAGAACTGTTTCTGGATTATCATTATTTCAGTGAAGCAGTTACCCCATGTGGGTCATTCAGAGCAAGGAGTGATGGAGGCTTGATCCTCCATCCTCTAATTACAGCCTGGTCTCTTGACCAATAAAGCTGGCAATAACTGGAGCTTGTAGTTTCAAGAGCAGAATCAACTCCAGAATATTTCAGAATACTGTACCTTAAAAGGGTTGTATACTCATATTTCACTTTTTTGTTCTTGTCTAACCTCAATTCTTTGTCAAAATATCCATACTTACTTTATTAATGGAGATATTAAATGACATGACGACATCTCATAAACTTGTCCCACTTCAACTTTAAACCAATCACTCAAGATAGATTAGCCCTTACATACAATCTACTTTTCTTGAAAAAAAAAAAAAAACTCAAAAAAAAAAAGCCTCCCTACTACTCTCTAAACTTTCACAATATTCTACAATCCATATTTGTTAACCCAAAAGATTTTTTTCAATCCATAAATGCAGTAAATGCCTTTTTTCTTTCTCCAACACTCTTAACTATCATCCTCATAGTCAAAAGCTGATTCACATAACCATGTTCCTCCAATATTTTTGCTCTTTTTTTTTTTTTTTTTTTTTTTTTTTTACAGTATCAGTAATTCAGCTGTTGTTGAAATTGCTTTTGTCATTTTTTCATGCTTCTGTATCATCTTAAGGTACAAAAGATGTTATGTAGAACTGTACAATATTTGAAAAATTTACAAAAGCTATTCCCATGAAGCAATCACATAAATGTTTGCACTAACAATTATGCATGGAAAAGAAGGTGATGTAACTTTGCATGTAGCTACAAGAAAAAAAAGATATAAGAAGAAATTCCATAATTCTCTATGAGGAAGTGGAGAAGAATCCTTCCTTCAAATGCTATGCACGCTGTAAGAGACAACAAAAATGCCACGAGCAAGGGGCTAATAACCCCTTTTCCTGTATAAATTATTAAATGTTAAAAGAAGAAAAACTTTAAGTTTCTTTTTTTAAGATCATCATAATATTGGAATCACAAAAACTGAAAACAGCATACGAAGCTTGTGTCTGGAATAAGTTAATGAAGCAATATGCACTTACTAAGGCTGTTATATCTTTTTGGTGTGGGAAGAGAGATGTCAAGAGTGTATCATGAGGAACATTGGCACTCCCAGTCACTAGTACTGCTTGTTGCTGTTTCATACCCCAGCCACCACCAACATCTGTGTGACAATACAAAATGTAACTGGTAATGTGTGCATTTTGTAGCTGAAGATATGGGTTCAAATTCCCCACCATTCCTTCTTCACAAAATCTGGAACTCCTGCCTGAAAACTCTAGAACCGCAGACTCAACCACCATTTTCAAAACTACGGTTACAAAACATCTCATCTCCATAACACACCCCATCATCAGCTAACCAAATGAAAACCAACTAATTATCTGTTTTGTATCATGAATACATCCAAAACAATAATTTACACCTACACCCGCCCAAATGACTGTAAACATAAAATTCCTAATATAGCTATTGCTTATTAAAAATCTTAATTTAGCCCTAAGTTTGCCTAAAACTCATCCACTATATGAGTTTTAAATAGAAACAATGTATCATGCCAGACAAACTGAATCCCTTTATAAACTCATTTTTAATATTATTATATGTTTGACTACCAAACCATTTTAAATCAATTTGAATGTACCAAACGGGATGTATCTAATTATGATCTAATAATACTTCAAAGTACGCTAATTATAACCTATATCAATATAGCTAAGAATTAGCATTACCCCTCCCCGAAGTGCCTGGGAAAAATTTGTGGCCTTTTTGTGATTAAAAATTTTATAGCATGAAAACCCACCGTTTTAAGCTTTACAAGGAAAAAAATTTTTAATTTGAATTGAAACTGATTTAATATATATTTTCTTCTCTCCAATATTATCAGTGCACCTACTTGCTAAAATCACTTCAAAAAAACAAACTAAATTCAATATACAGTAAGGGCCCTGCTTTACGGCGTTTCGCCTTACGGCTTTCCGCTAATACGGGATGTCAAATTATGCCAAAATTTCTATAAGAAAGCGATTTTTTTAAATACAGCACCCCCCCCCGGGTTTTTTTTACATTTTGTCCCCACTCTATTATGTCAGGAAATTTTCCCAAAAATTTCAATTTTTTTAAAGTTACTGCATATTTTATATGTCTCTGATAATTATACTTATGTGTCCCTGTACTTAAATATATTCACCGGCGGTATGCAAGTACACATTAAAATCCTAAGTCTCTCTCTACTCATGCGCCAATACTAAGTAAAAAAATAACCACTCTGGGCACACTAAATTCTTTTTTTACATCAATATGGGGCATTTTAAAATTTCCATCTATGATATTTTCCTAAAAATTATATATGAAACCCATTACATCATATAAACATAATACATACCCCAGAATAAAAAAATGTGAAAATATGAGATTTTTTTTTAAAAAGCGCTTTGTAGGTAGTGTCGGAAGAATTACGTTTTCTTAGCAAACACTGGGGGGTAACTGTAGAAAAATATTTTTTTTGTTCCTTTAACTATGTATGCAATTCACGCCCCTTGGGGTTTAGTGCTTTTTTAATAAATGATAAAAATAATTTTTATTATTAAATTTTTATAAAAAACGTTTTATTATTTTTATTAATATTAAAAATAATAATAAATTATAAAAAGGGGGAAGGACCGGGGATTGGCGGAGAGCAGTATAGCCCCTTTATATAAAGGGAAGGGGGGACAAAAGAGATTGTAAAAATTATAGGGGAAATAATTTACTGTATACCAGGGAAAAGTACCGGTAGATTTTAAAATGAAAGAATTAGGGGAAAGACAAATGTAAAATTTGCGGAGAGCAAGGGGTTTCAGGTAGGAAGAGGAGTGTAATCAGTTTTTACATTGAAGCATATATGTAACAGTATTTAGATAAAGGGGGGAAGTTTTTATTGCTTTTATGGATTTAGAAAAGGCATATGATAGATGGAAGAGGGAAATGTGGCAGATGTTGCAAGTTTAGGAATAGGGGGGTAAGTTTTTAAAAGCTGTAAAGAGCTTTTATGGGGATAGTGAGGTCGGGTTAGGGTGTGTAGAAAGGGGGAGAAACTTCCCGGAAAAAAGTAGTCTTAACGGGGATGTGTAATGTCACCAGGTTGTTTAAATATTTTTAGATGGGGTTTGTAAAAAAGAAAATGCAGGGTGTTCGGGAGGGGGGTGGGATTAAATTAGGGGGGAATCAAATTCAAAATGGGAATTGACCAGTTATTTTTTGCAGTAAAACGTGCTTAGGGAGTTCTAAAGAAAAATTGCAAAGGTTAGGGGGATGATTTTTTGGAAAATGTTTTAAAAGGTTGAAATTTGAAAGTGAAAAGAAAAGGTAAGGTGATGGGGTATAAAATATTTAGATAAAAAAAAATTGGATACAAATTGGGGGGGGAGTAGGGAAAAAGTGAATTTTTTCAATACGGGGAGTTAGTGTGGGCGGAGGGATTTATGAAGGTGGGGTTTAAATCAAGAATTGATGGGGGGAAAAAAGGTGAGTGGGGGTTTTGAGGTAATGTGGAGTAAAAAAAATTTCTATGGAGGAAAAGAAGGGAAATGTATGAAAGTTGTAGTACCAACACTCTTAAGGGGATGTGAAGTTGGGTGGAAATCGCAGCGAGGAGAGGGTTTGGAGGCAGTGGGTTCCTGTCTAAGGGCAATGTTGGTGAAAATTTTAGCAGAAAATTGGGAGCGGGGAAATTAGAGAAGGTGGGGGTTTTAATAAAAGCATTAGTCAGGGCAGAAGGGGGGTTTTGTTGAGGTGGTTTGGTCTTTTTAAAGAGAAGGATCAAAGTGAATACAGGGAAAGCATATAAATCTATGGGGGAAGGAAAGGGGTAGGGGTCATCCTCAAAAGGGGTTTGGAAAGGGGGGGGAAAGGAGGTTTTGTGGGCGAGGGGCTTGGACTTCCAGCAAGCGTGCATGAGCGTTTTAAAGATAGGAGTGAATGGAGACGAAGAAATTGGGAACTGACGACTGTTGGAGTTGGCAGGGTAATATTTGTTTGGTAAACACATAGCAACAGTTAGACAACTTTTTTCCGAAACGTTTCGCCTACACGTAGGCTTCTTCATCGAATACAAAAAGGCAGGAACAGTGAGATGTGAAAACGATGTAATCATCCATCCCCTTAAAGTCGAGAATTTTAGGTTTTCAGTCCCTCGGCCTGGGAAGTTCAGTTTCCTAGCAGGAAAATATCTGAAGATCAAGCGACAGTGCGGAGACTTAAAAAACTGTCGGAAGGAGAGGGGCAAGGTATAGTAGTAATGAAGGCAACTGGAGGGCTGTCCCCTCAATCCAACCCTTTCACTGAAAAGTTTGTCCAATGTTTTCTGTACCAAGATGCCACGTGTTGCAGTGTCTGACAAGATGAACATCAAAATGGATACAATACCGAAAAGGGTTTTTAGGGAAACCATATGCAACGTTAGACAACTTTTTTTCCGAAAAGTTTCGCCAACAGTAGGGTTCTTTAGTCGAATACAGAAAGTAGGGGGAAAAGTAGAGTGTAAGACGATGTAATCAGTCCAACACCCTTAAAGTCGTAAATTTGAGGGTTGTCAGTCCCTCGGCCTGGAGAAGTTCATTTCCCCTAGTCAGGAAACTATCTGAAGATCAAGCGACAGTGCGGAGACTTAAAACTGTCGGAAGGGAGGTGCAAGGGAAGTAGTAGTAGTGAGAGGCAACTGAGAGGTCAGCCCCCCAATCCAACCCCTTTTCCTTGAAAAATTTTTAAGGGGTTTTTCCCCGTCGTGACTTTGGATGTCTGACAAGAATGAACTCAAAATGGAACCCCAATACCCACTTTTAGGTAAGGGCCAAAAATTCAAAAAAAAGTTCAAAATTCCCTTTTCCCCCTACTTCTTATCGAAAAAAAAGAGGGGGAAAGTGGAGGAAACGTTTCTCCTATAAAGGGGCTAAAATTTGATTGATTTCCCCCCCCTGGGAATTGTTCCATGGTCAAAATTCGAAATCAACACGGGGAACTTAAAACCGGAAAAACAAGGGGAGAGGTTGGAAACCCGAGAGGGGATGCCCCCCTCAGTCCAACCCTTCTCACTTTAAAATTTTGTCCAAGGGGTTTTTTTCCCCGTACGTGCCCCGTTTCAGTGTTACTGAAAATAAAAAGGATCAATCCCAAGGGAGGAAGAAAACCAACAAAATTAAAAACTTTAAATTGAAAAGTTTCGCTCACATTCTTTTCTCAATTTTTTTAATAGGAGGAACCAGTAGAATTTGAAAGTGTAATCAATTCACCCCAAAGTCGTAGAAATTTTAGGTTCCCTCCCCCGGCCGGGGAAACATCCAAAGTGGAACTTTGAAGAAAACACTTGGAAAAAACTTAAAGGGGAGGTTTAATTGAGGTTGAATGGGGGCCTAATCAGTCCCCCTCAATACCCTTCTCTATTTTTTTTTTTTTTTTTCCAAGGGGGTTTTTCTTCAAATGCCCTGTTCAGTGTTGACAAAAGAAACCAAAATTCCCCAGGGAGGAAGACAAAATTCAAATTTAAAATTTTTTCCCCAAACCCCTTTCCCTCACGTGGGGGCTTCATTTGAATAAGAAAGTAGGCGGGGAAAATAAGTGTAACTGTAAACAGTTTACCTTAAAGTCGGTTTTTTGTATCCCTTGGAAATTTTATTTTTGTCAGACACTGAAACAAGGAGTCGGAACTTAAAATTCAAGGAGGGGGGATTGAAGGGACAAAAGAATCAGTTCCTCTCAATCCAACCCTTCTCCTTGAAAAAGTTTTTCCGGTGTTTTCTTACAAGATGCCACTTTGATGCTGGGGGGGGGGGGGCGAAAATCAAATGGGAAAAAACCGAAGGGTTGGAAGACTATCAACGTTTAAAATTTATTCCGAAAATTGTAACCGTATTCCTTGGCCTACGGTAGGCGGGAAAATGGATGTGAAAGTTAATTGTCCTACCCTAAAACAAATTTTGGGTTTTTATCCCCCCCTTTTAGTTCCCTGTCAGGAAAACTGAAACAAGGCATCGGGAAAAAAAACTTGGAAAATCAATGAGAAGGTGGGGAAAATGAGAGGCTGCCCCCTCAGTTCCCCTTTTCACTTGAAAATTTTTAATTTTTTGACCTCCCTTCCACAAAAAAATAAAAGGTTCTCCGCATTTTTGGTGCCTTCAAAGTTTGAAA